TGCTTGACTAGTAATATCAAATTCCTTAGCAAACTTATTAGAATTCTCAGTTACTATAGGAAATTCCTTTACAGTGGTTCGTAACTCAGCTTTTGTCCAGGGAATATAAGAAATGTGGGTTTATTAAGATCTCCAGAGGGTTTAATCTTAAATGGAGTACTGATAGGTTCTGAGGAAAAAGAGGGAGGAGATTTGAAAGGAGGTGCCGCTGGGGTTTGAGTTGAAGATGGGGAAGGCGACAAACAAGAGCAAGATGGTGTGGAAGGTGGAAGAGGCGTCAAAGAAGCAGTGGGGGAAGGGCAAGGGAGTGTTGTAGACAAAGAGCACAAGGTTTCAGATGCCATTCTGTTTTTTAGACTTTTTAACAGTTTTTATTAACTTTGAGACTCTATTTTGTAAACTGACAACTTTAGATTTGTAGTCCTGTTTGGCAGCCTCCATATACCACTCTAAATATGCATTCCATTCCTCTTTCTCAGTTACAACACTGTTACCATCCAATTAAGTTTTTCTTTGTTTTTTTTAAAGGTTTTATTGGGGAATTGTGGGGAGGGAACAGCGCTGAGGAATCGGGGGAAGGGGAACAGACAAGTTGTGGTCCTTTTGTTCTTCAGTCTAGTTGTGGAGAATGTTGCTTCACTGGCCCATGTTGGTATTATCATTGCGCTCTTCCCGGGAGAGGCAGTTGCTCGCCAGCCATTGGATGGCTGCTTACGGTGACTCAACAGCAGCCCAGCTCCAGGTCGAGCTGTTGTTCACCATCTTAGCTGTAGAGGGCGCAGCGTCACTGGCCCTCATGTGGGATCCGAACTAGGGCCCTGTTGCTCAGAGCTGGTGTCCCAAGCCAACTCCTAACCAATGCGCCACTCGGCCAGCCCCCATCCAATTTAGTTTTAAGAAATTCAAGTTTGGAAATCTCAAAAGTTACCCAAAGTAGCCACTGATTTCTAAAATTACACTTAGTCAGATCTGCCCATTTAGTTAAATATGTGCACAAAAATTCTCCGTATTTTGTGAGCACGTGCTTAGCTGGTGTCCCTGGAGGAGGGACAGTGTTAGAAGGCTTAGACTTTAGAGATCCCATTTTAAAGGCTGGGCCCCAAACAATTTACAACTCGAATAACCTACAGGTGTTCCAGAACTCACCTCACTCTGGAACAGTCTGATCACTGGGAATGAGACCGAAGGCTAGAATCCGTTCCGGGCAAATAACCAACGCTCAGGGAGTTTGGTTATCGGCTGAGCGGCGCGGCACTCCATTAACTTTTCACTGACACAGCACGATCTAACATTGGCTAAACCGACCAATTTCAGTAGAAATAACATCCCAAAGGGATGTTAGGCGAAGGCCAGTTTTGTCTCAAAAGACAGCCTGCTTTCCGAAGAAAGCAAGCCAACTTGCCACGAGTACAGGCAAAAAACCAACAACAATAGGCCTTAAAGCATTCACACACACAACAAACAAACGAATGAAACAAGCAAAAAAATGTTTTTAATTCCTGAATAAAGCCTGAAGAGCGCCAAACGCAAAAGCCTGTTGGTTCAGATCCAGGAGAGAAACTCACCCCGCAGCCCCTAAGCCAAGTAGCAAAGCACTGGAGTGATAAATGGCTCAGTAGAGGCGCTTTGGTTTGTTCGCCGGGTAGAAAGCTGCCAGAGTTCCGTTCCTCTCTGGATCCTGGACAGCAAGCCCCCAAAAAGTTGACTGGCAGAAAATAACTCTCTAAGTAATCCACTAAAGAAAAGGTTTACTCGGGAAAAATAAAAAGAAGCAAGACCACCACCGCAGTGCAAGAAGTCACCTCCAACAAGGGAGCTCCAACTGGCAGCCCACGTGGAGGAAAAAGACCCCGTCCCAAGATGGCTAATCCCTTTATTATGATCCCTCCCCCGGAAATTACCATAAGGATAACCGGGAAGTCAGGATTGTAGAGTTAACAAGAGGCCCAGCTCCACCCATAGTCCTCCCAACTCTATGGTTAAGCATCTTAAGATGTCGGTTCACTTTATCACTCTCCACGTGGCCGCAGTTGAGAAGCAGTCGAGAAGCTAGAATATTCTGATGTCTGGGCTGCACTGCGATGCCTGAGCTCACCAGCTCTGCTTGCGCCTGGGTGTGGGCACACGCAGTCAGCACTAGGGACCTGGGGGTGTTGGGGGCGTTGGTTCTGCTTCCCTCTGTGGCCTTGCCTGCAGCCAGCACAGCTACGACGTTCACGGCCATGGGAGCGGAGGGGCTGGGGAGTGGGAGCCAGGAGGTCGGGTCCCCAACCTGAGGGTGATCAGAGCAGTGAGAGCGCAGGTTGCCTGCAGGCTTCCCGACTGAGCAGGGCCACTGCCAGCGCAGCTCCAACGGAAATGCGCGAACAGACCGTAGCGTGTGCTGACAGCAGCATTGCCAGAGTGGGACTCATCTGGGTGTTTATTCATGACATTTTTGTCATGCGAGGAGATGGAGGGACTATGGCCGCCTGCAACCCGATGGTAGGTCTTTGTTTAGAGAGAATACAGGAGAATGTGCCTGGGTCACACAGCGATTTCTTGTCCCTTAAACCTCTGACCTGAGCATATGTGACGAGGGCATGTCGGGTCCCTGCCCACAGCGCCCACAGTCACTGGGCATCTGGGTGGGAGCGACGTTGTCCATGTTGGCAAGAGGGGCCCCCCCGCTGCTGCTGGACGCTGTGGGAGTCTCAGATGAAAACCAGGTGGAGAAGGAAGGTGCTTGGCCACGTGTGAGCTGGAAATGCGCGTGTTTGAATCAGAGCATTATTCTGTGATGTGACAGAGGGAAGGCCATGGGGTTGTCCCTGGCCTGCCACTCGAGCTTTGTTCTGTGCTCTTTGCCGATCCTGTGGTGGCTCCTGGAACACCAGCTCCTGCCCCTGCGATGAGGCTCAGCATTGGAAGGTCAGTGACGACTGTAGGACAGGGGTGACAAATGACTGTCGGGGCCCCTGAAAAGAGGGGCCTCAAAATTAAGATCTGGCCTGAGGGAGGCTTTCCTGAGAAGGCAGGGCCACGGGAGGTGGCCGTGCTGTCCTGTTGGTGGGAGGGGCAGGGCAGGTATGTGGCTGGTAGGCAGAGGGCTGCTGCTGCAGGCCGGAGCCAAGAGGCTGGGTGGACCCTGCAGGAAGGAGCCCAGGCGGCACAGCTGGGCCGGGCCCTGGGTGGATTGCTCCCTCTGCCTGCCACCAAGCGCATTCCTTCAGGGGGCAGGGTAGGTGGGCACAGAGCTCACTCTCAGCTCAGGGCGCCGTGTCCTGGCTGCAGGGGCGCGGGGCCCACAGAGGCTCAGCTCTCAGCTCACTGTCACTCCGGACAAAACACTGGCCCTGAGCTGGTGAAGAGGAAGAAGGAGGTGGCGCTGAACAGAGACCTCGGCCCAAGGGGCTGAAGAGCTTGTGATAATCCCGCAGGCAGTGGCAGCCCTGTTGTGGTCTGGGGTGCCTTTTGGGGAGCTGTCCTGGTGTACCAAGGGTCGGGGTGCACCTGGTGGCTGGGGAGAGATCAGGGTGCTTGCTGAGCTAATGGTGTGACTGGACAGACCAGCCGCGGGGAGCTGCAGAGGGCGGAGGGGGAGCGGCGTGGCTCTCAGCGTCTGGTACTGCCCAGGCTGGGTGGGAGCCAGGTGTGGGCATCACCAGCTCAGTCTGGGTCCGGCTGCTTGAGGGGCCTGTGAGCACTCGCAGGTGGAGGGGCACAGGCAGTGGCGGCCACCTAAGCTCTGAGGACCAGTTGTGGGGCAGCCAGCTGGACACCCAGCGCGTCCACTGCATACACCTACATGTTAGGGATGAAACGTAATGGGCACCATTTCAGATGCATGACTGAGCCCTCCCAAAGGAAAGGAAACCCCAGATGTCACATACTGAGGGACCCGCAATCTGAGCAGTCGGCTGTTGGAGGCTGCCTGGGCGGGCCAGGGGTGGCCCAGGGACTCAGGTGTGATGTCACTGGGAACGTGGGAGCCCAACCCTCCTGAGGTGGGGCGGGCAGTGGTGCGGGAGAAACTGCTGCTGATGAAGCCAATATCGTGGGGGAGACGCTCGCTTGACATGTGGGCACAGGCCGAGCTACAGCCGTGGGGCCTGGACTGCTGCAGGGTTTGTCTGGAAAGAGGTGTGAAGTTGGCCCCGGCTGGTGGCAACCCTCAGCCCTGGCAGATGTCCCCTCGGCCCCTGTGCGGCTGCATGCCAGCATCTGCAGAGGTGATCACAGCGCATCAGGGACTGTGCCTGGCGCCACTCAGCCAGCATGAGGGGTCAAGGTTCCACCACTGACATGACCTGTCAGACTGCAGTGAGCAGCATCAAGAAGGAATCAGAAGCTAAGGAAAAAGCAAGATGCTGAGGGAAAGAGGCCAATTTGAAATGGGACCAAACAGCACGTCCACAAATGGAAAATCTGGTGGCTGAAATCTAAAGCCTGGTGGGTGGAGTAAGACCGTAGCGTGTCTGCCAGCAGCAGGTCGGTCCTCATGCAAAGAACAACTCCAGACGCTGGATAAGACGTTAACAGGTTGCTGGCCTGGGCAAGCCAGCAAGTGTGACATGTGACAGGACCAAGACCGCAAGGGGACAGGCCCAGGGCAGGGCACCATGGCTGGTCCCAGAGTGGACGGCAGGTGCAGAGCAGTGGCAGCGCCAGGCACCAGGCAGCAAAGACCCCAGGCCTGGGCCAAACTGACCAGCTGGCTGTAGCTGTAGGACGAGTGGCCTGGTGGGGTCTCCAGGGCCAAGGACCAGGGGTCCCAGAGTGACAAGGGGCCTCTGGATTCCACCACCTTAGCAGCCAGTGGACAGGGCACTAAGGCCAGGCCTGCGTGGGGGTTCATTTTGGTGGGGCAGCCAGAGCAGTTGGGGACCCGGGGTTCAGTGCACATTTTTCAGGGCAGTGGCTGACACGTGCAGACAGTAGGCCACAATTCCACGTTTGCTTTCCAGTTATTTTAAGGACATTAAAGGTTGCGTGAGCAATGTGTTTTCTTTCTGTTACAGCCACAGCCCCGCTCTTAGCAGGACGCCATGCTGACGGGTCCCAGTGTCTGTCCTGCCACCTGAGGGTGGCGTGGCCGTGCTGGTGCATCTTGCAGACGAGAACGTGCACCATGTCAGCGGCAGCAAAACCCCAAGCCCCAGCAGAGCCGGCCCCGGGTCCTGAGGAGACGCCCCGGGGAAAGCCGCCCCTTGGCTGGGGCTCTCTGTTCGGCCACCGCGAGAAGATTGTTTTCACCAGGAGTGATAGCGCCCCCGGGGAGAGCGTGCTCACCGTCACCATCAGCGAGACCACTGTCATCGAGTCGGACCTGGGGGTGTGGAGCTCACGGGCTCTGCTCTACCTCACGCTCTGGTTCTTCCTCAGCTTCTGCACCCTCTTCCTCAACAAGTACATCCTGTCCCTGCTGGAGGGCGAGCCCAGCATGCTAGGTGAGCCGGGACCTCCCAGATGAGGGCAGGC